GCCGTGTTCCTCCCGTAACTGACGCCCATCAACCTCGATCCTCGGACCTCTCAGGCATGAGACGACGTCGCGCTTTATTTACAGGGCCCCTCGAACTCTCGCCCTCTTGCTGGGGGCATGTTCCTCGCCCCGAGGCGAGAGCCCGTGCCAGAGGCCCGCGTCCGCCCCAGAGACCTCGATCCTCTGCCCTCGCACCTTGAGGCTCCGACCGAGGCCCCTCCCAGGTTGGACGGCAAGGGGGGGTGGGCAAAGCGGGGGGGGAGCCCAGGGAAAAGCGTGAAGGGGCGGGCCTCTTCAGAACGCTCGGGAGGCCTCGGGCCTTCTGAGAAGTTGTTTCCTAAACTCTCCCCGACGACACAGAAGAAACTTCTCGGAAGACGCGAGGGCTGCTGCGAAATCCCGCCGCCTTCTGAGAAGGCCTTTTCCGTTTCAGTCCCCCCCCTCGCTCGCCGTCGATAGTAAAGCGGGGGGGAGCGATGCAGCTCATGTGGATGGTCTTCCCAGCGCCCCCTGGCGCTTGGAGGCTCAAGTAGCACAGACGAGAAGGCCCTGGTCGCAGAGCTGAAACCGAGCTGCACGCAGCAAATGTTCTACCCCTGCCCCTTTCCCGATGTCCCCTCTCTGGGTCGGCCTCTTTTCAGGATCAATCAAGCGGACGTGCGTCGGATCGGGCTGCATCGGCACGGGGTCGAAATCGAACCAGATCGGCCGTGCCAGGATGCACACTAGCATCGGGACGCATTTGATCGCCTGAGTACCAGAATCGAATCGGACGGGGCCGCCCGAAATGGATATCGAACTTGACCGATTCGGATCGAAATGGGCCCTGCCAAGGGGAACAGAGAGATGCTGATACCGCTGCTCCTGGGACCTTCTCTACCATCGGGCTGCTGAAACAAGGAACGCTAAATACGGAACGAAGCCCCTCTGTGGCTTCAAAAAGCCTGGGTGCACGAGAAGGGCTAGAGGAACCACCACGGAAGGACGTAAGGAACATCGAGCCCCTTCCGAATCCAAACTGTTCCTTCTTTCAGCGTCTTGGCTGTAGGGCTGCGTCCTGACAAGAATTCCGAGGAGAACCCAGCCGTGCCGACGACGGAAGCTTAGCAGTATATGGCGGGTTCCGGAGAGTCCGAACGCAAAACATTGACATCTCTTGGAGGACAAAATATCATTCCCGCCGGCTTCCGCCGAGCTTCTCCGCCGGCGAGGGCTGCCCCGTTCTGATTGCGCCGCCTTCCACGGGCCTTCCGCCGCCTTCCTCCGGGGAGGAGATGCCAACTCTTGCGGCCCTCGAATGCGAGGCCCTGTTTGGAGCGCGCCATATCGGTTCCTCTACATGTGCTCCTCCTCCGACTGGAGAAATGGCGATGACGGCGTAGAGAAAATCGGGCTCCACATCGAGCCGCATCGCCGACGCATCGGCTTTGAGGCGCGAACTGCCGACCCCGAGTCGGACCCCATCTGGGTGGCCTAAGATATCGGCGACTCTGCCTCTTCTCTCGAGGGTGGACAGAACCCCCTTTAGCAAAACACCCTTTAACGAAACTTACCAAAAGCACTCCTCACGCACACGGCACCGCATTCTGTGCGGACCCGGGCTGGGTAGCTAATCGACGTCCAGAACAACCGAATGGAGTCGAGCACACACACACACACACACACACACACACACACACACGCACGCACACACACACACACACACACACACACACACACACGCCGACTAGCGTAAAACCGACGGGGGACGCAACAGCACACTGCGAATGCCAATGTCGAACGACCTGTGCAGAATGCCTCAATCGACTTGTCTGGGCAGGCGCTCTCTCAACGCCCGATTCATCAATCCTCTGACAGCCTTCCTCCACCCCGCACGCTCAGGGGCGGGCGAGGACCCCGACAGAGCTCTCCGCCGCGCCCAGACGAGTCCGAGGGCACCGTGGCGCCCCCCCAGCCCCAGCGACGCAGATCTCAGACCACACCATGGCTTAACTATGCGCTCTGCAGCCGCCGGCCTTCACCGGGGCCCTGTCGGCTACACGCAAAGGTGACCCTGTGTGGCGGCTTCCGGCAACCCTGAACCCAAACACTATTCCACCTTGGGGGCGCATCTTTTACTTCCGGCGCCTTCCGCCAGCCATCCGCTGGCTTCCGCAGGCGGAGGCGGCATCGTTTTACTTCCGCCGAGCTTTCGCTGCCCTTCCGCCGAGGGAGAGATGACAACCCCTGCGATCCTCGAAGGTAAGGCCCTTTTCAGAACGCCTCAAGTAGACACGAGTGACCTTTGGTGCGCGGCTTCAGGGGTGGGGATCGCGGTATGGCCCAAACCGAGCGCGCCGCCAGCCGCTGAGCTATCGCATCTCGCTCAACGATCGAGGAGGGCCCGCACCAGAGGCCACTCCGGCGAAGGGTCACTCATACAGTCGGACCTCGGCCAGACAAACACTTCTCAAGAACATGAGGTCCTCCGTCGGCCAAAACAAACAGAACATCCTAGGGT